TTGGCGAGAGGGAAGATCTCCTTGGAAGATCTGAACATCGCCAACACGCGAATTAGGAAAGCACAGGCGGGGGGCCTCCTCATCGAGATCCCTGGGGGTGAGGAGGCAGGTGCCAAGGCGGAGGCGCTTGTCGATCGTCTCAGGGCTGTGCTGGCTGAGAGCGACTACAAGGACAAGGTCAGTGTGGTGCGTCCGGTTCGTCGCGCGGAGATCAGGCTGGTCAACGTTGATCAGTCTCTGCGGAGGAGGTGGTTAAAGAGGTGGCCACCTTCGGTGAGGTCCCCACGGGGGACGTAAGAATCGGCTCATTTAGACCGGGGCGCGGAGGTCTGAACACTGTGTGGGTGCAATGCCCTCTCGCGTGTGCCAGCAAGCTGGTGAAGGCCGGTCGTATCAGGCTCGGGTGGTCGTTTGCCTCCGTCGTGGCCCTAGTGAAGCGGAGGCTGCAGTGCTTTCGGTGCTTAGCGGTGGGATACATGAGGGTGGTGTGCCAGAGTGCGGTGGATAGGTCCGCCTGGTGCTTCCAGTGTGGAGGAAACGATGGGCACAAGGCTGCCGGTTGTCGATTACCTCCGCGCTGCCCTGTATGTGCGGACAGCGGACTCGCAGCTGGACATCGTGCTGGTGCGGCGGAGTGTGTACCCTTCAACGACCGCGGGCGGGCGTCGGAAAGCGTAAATCGTGGGGCTGGTGCATCTGTCGGGGTCGATCGGGGAGCCCTTGCCGAGGAGGAGACAATGGATATCGAAAATGGTGATACTGGCCCAGATAAACACTAACCGGTCGGGACCCTCGCAGGATCTCATCGCCAAGATCAGCGAGGAGTTTGATCTGGGGCTGATCGCGGTCTCTGAGCCGAATCGCGTCCCGGTGAGCGATCGGTGGCTTGCCTCAACGGACACTCCTCCCTCGGCCGCTGTCACATGGCAGTGGAGTCGTTGGAGGATGCCGTGTTCTCCTCGCTGGAGAGGCAAGCGGTTTGCCGCGGTGGACTGGGGGGACGTGATCGTAGTATCGTGCTACTTTCCTCCAAGTCTTGGAGACGGTGAGTTCCTGCGGGATTTAAACGAACTCGGAGTGAGAGTGCGGGAGGTGCCTGGACGCCCGATTATCATACTTGGTGATTTTAATGTGCGCTCGCCTGCTTGGGACCCGGGTCAACCCAACAGGCGAGGTGGACTTCTGATAGATTGGATGGGTCTTTTAGACTTACATATTTTAAATGTAGGCACGGAGCCGACGTGCGTTCACCCGCGTGGAGTCTCGTGCGTGGATCTCGCGTTGGCGTCGTCCTCCGCGTCTAGGAGAGTCGTCTCCTGGCGGGTAGGATCCGACGTGGAATCTCTCTCGGACCACAGATGTGGAACACATATGTGTTTACCGATGTCGACACAACCCTGGTTGGACCTGCCACTGTCAGAACAATGCTCAAAGCATTTCCCAGGTGGGCCGTCGGGGAGGTGGATTCCGACTTATTGGAGGCCGCGGCGATCATCGGGACCTGATGCGGTATCCCTGAGGGAGCGGTTCAGGGAGCAATACGGATGGACCAGCTGCTCCGTGACATCTCGGATGTGTCCATGCCTAGGAGAGGGTTGCCGAGGAGACCATCCGCGTACTGGTGGAACCAGGAGATCGCGGATCTCCGTCGTGCCTGCAACGCGTGCAGAAGGCACCTAACGCGTGCGCGTGCCAGGGGGGCCTCGCGGGAGTCCACGCAGGGCCTGTGGGACGCTCTGCGGGTAGCTAGACGCAGCCTCAGGGGGGCGATTTATCGCTCCAAAAGGGGGTTGTGGTCGGAGCTGCTAAGCGACCTCGATCGGGATCCCTGGGGGTTACCCTATCGGGTGGTCCTCCGAAAGTTGCGTGCGGGTGGCGCATCGATCGTGGAGGTGCTCCCACCTGAGGTCGTGGGGGACATCGTCGGGACTCTCTTCCCGACGATTAGCTCTCCCACGGGCACCGGTGTGCCATTCGTGTGGGGGGATGACCTCGCGGTTACGACCGAGGTCTTGGAGGCCGGATTGAAGATTAAGCGAGGAAAGGCTCCAGGTCCGGACGGCATCGCGGGGATGATCGTCAAGGAGACGATGAAGTATCTGGCTCCACTGTGGGCCAGTTGCTTCACGGGATGCCTCAGGGGGGGGCACCCGCGGGACTGGAAGGGGGCCAGACTGGTTCTTATTAAGAAGCCGGGTAAGCCGGACCTTTCCCCGTCCTCGTACAGACCTATCTGTCTGTTAAGCGAGGCGGGGAAATTATTTGAGAGAGTTCTGGCACGTAGACTGCATGCCTTCCTGGATACTACGGGGGGCATCGCGGAGGGCCAGTTTGGCTTCCGCCAGCATCGCTCCACGGTCGATGCGATCTGGAGGCTGAGAGAGTACGTTCGTGATGGTCTGCGGGATGGGGGTGTGGTGGTGGCTGTGTCGCTAGACATAGCCAACGCCTTTAACTCCCTCCCGTGGCGAGTCATTGGCGACTCCCTGGAGGAGAAGGGGGTACCAGAGTATCTCAGGTGCGTTATCGGGAGCTATCTCTCCGCCCGGGAACTGGCCTATGTGGATAGGAGGGATAAACTGACGCGTGCGCCTGTGTCGTGCGGGGTTCCGCAGGGATCGGTGTTGGGGCCGACCCTGTAGAATGTCGGGTATGACTCAATACTGAGACTCCGTTTCCCGATCGGTTGTAATGTAATGTGTTACGCGGATGACACTCTGTTGGTGGCACGTGCTGATACCTTTGGGGAGGCACGCTTGAGAGCGGAGGTAGGGGTCACCTTTCTGATCCGCGCTATTGAACGTCTTGGGCTGAGGGTCTCGGTTGCCAAGCCCGAGGCCGTGGCTTTTTCAGTTGAGGGGACGCCGGCTGGTGCGGTTACTGGGATCGGGGGGGCGGTGGTTCCGATTGGTTCCGCCGTGAAATACCTGGGTCTAACCCTGGATTCGCGGTGGAACTTTCGGGATCACTTCCGCCTCCTTCTTCCCAAGGCCTGGGGCATGGCCATGGCTCTGGCGCGACTTACCGCCAATATCGGCGGTCCTGCTGAGAGACGGCGTCGGTTGTATGCGACAACGGTGATGTCGGTAGTGCTATACGGTGCCCCGATTTGGGCGCAAACGGTGGCCAGCGATCGCGGGATCCTGAGGGATGTGCGAAGGCTGCAGCGGCAGCTTGCGCTCAGGATCATTAGGGGATATCGTACCGTTTCCCACGAGGCTGCGTCTGTCCTCTCGGGAATGGTGCCATTCGATATAGTCGCAAACAGGCTGAGGAGGTCATACCTTCGTCGGCGAGATGTTATCCGTCGAAGCGGGACTATCGAGCCTCGGATGACCTTGATGTTGACCGAGGTGGAGCGACGTCGCTCTATTTTAAGATGGCGGGAGCGTATGATCGAGCTGCCTCCGGATCGACCCGGGGCGATCGTTAGGGGCGCCTTTGTGGAGGACCTGGAGAACTGGGTGGGGAGGGCGCACGGTGACCTCACTTACCGCATTACTCAGGTCTTGACGGGACACGGGGTCATCGAGTCCTATCTCTATAGGATTGGATGGCGGGAGTCCCCGATTTGCCTGTTTTGCAGAGCGGCGGTGGATACAGCGGCGCACACTCTCCTGTTCTGTCCAGCCTGGGTGGAGCAGAGGAGGGGGTTGCTGGAACACGTGGGGGTATGCAGGACTCTCCGGGCGGTGGTGAGGGCCATCGTGCGATCCTCCGATGCGTGGTCGATCTTCGCGGAGTTCTGCGAAGTAGTGATGCGGCGGAAGGAGGAGGACGAGCGGGCTCGTGAACGGGGACTCGGTCCTCCGGGGGGTCCGCTCGTCCCTCTTCCCAACGTGCACAGTTCCGACGAGGAATAGTAGCGGCTCGGCGCCACAGGCGCATTAACGTACGTGGACATGTACATATATTCGTATTTGTGTTTGTATACGGTTGCGCGAGAGGAGCTTGTGTATATATTGTATATATTGTGTATATATTGTATATAGGTTAAGTTTTTATTTGTATATGTCGAAAGGAGATATTTCTCCTTCGGCGTACTTAGCGGCGGCGCAGTCTTTGCTGCACTCACAATATAACTCGTGTTAAGCGGTAGAGAGCGTGTCAGCTCTGGGGACTGGGAGGTACTCTGACGAGATGCTAGAATGCGGTTCCGGGGTGCCTTCTTTTAGTTCGTGCGGTAGTACGCTATAGGGGGGAGTTTTTAGTCGGTAGGCTGCCGCTCCGGTGCATCCACCGAGATCACGGGGCGGTGGAATCCGACACACCCGGTGGGGCGGGCCGCCGGGCGTCTTCCCTCCCCGATGGGTGACCCTCAGGGGTTCCCTTCGGGTGAGGGCTTGTGAAGATTTTCTCCTCCCTCGTAAAACAAAAAAAAAAAAGGTCAGGTCAGGTTCCCCGCAGGGGGTGGAATCATCTCGGATGCGGTCCGATTTCCTCGGTCGCATTTCGATATGATTCCGCTACGGGTTTAGCGAACCCGTGGTGCCTGAGCTCTCGTAATCTCTTCCCTTGCATCATGGAAGAGACCGAGCGTCCGAGATTGCACACAACCTCTCAGACGGCGAGGTGGGTCCTCTATAAAAAGTCCCCCTGTCTCGTGGTAGAGGTGCGCGGCCACGAGATGAATGGGTGATGGGTGAATCATCCAACAGCGGCCAAGTGGGGAGCGCACAGACGCTAATAACTGTGTGGCGAGAACATATGGACGGATTCTTGGACTTGTATATATATATAGTGTTTAAGGTGTAAATAGTGCGTGTACATACAAACGGATAATGAGAAATGACTAAGTGACGTTCAGCGGAGAAGGGATAGTGCGGTTCCTTGGGCCTCGGTTTGGTTCTCTCTCGCGATGTCGCTGGGATTGAGAATGGCCGGATACCTTTGAGGGACTGAAACTACCACAATGCAGGCTCCGTCGAGCATACTCCAAGATGTGGGTTATCCTCCGGGTTTTGCTCTCTGCTCCCTATCCTGGAGGTGTACGGAGGAAAGTTCGTCGAAGAATGGGAAGTACCATCCCACTTCTTCGCGAGCATGTTTCATCAATCGATTGCGCTATATCGAACAGAAAAGGCGGAAGTAGGTCCAAACAATCATCACACACGATGGATGAGTACACTCCGTGAGCGTAAGCTCATTGTTAATTTGGAGAAAATGCCGACGCCTGTTACTGGCAAGTCTCCAAAGGGACAGGATGATATTATCCCGGACATTCAGGACGGTGTCAGTGCTAACGGGCCTGGGCCTACAATTGTGTCTGATGTGCCTGTCCCCAAGGACGCTAGACTGCGCGTTGTGGATGGTGAAATCGTGAATTCACCAGTTACGTTGTCGAGACGTCGGATGCGCCGATGGTGGTTGATAGCTCGGAGAAGAGGTCCAACTACTCAGCAGACTCGATTTCATCGAGGGATGCGGACATAGTGTTACGAGGGAAAAAGAGACGTCGTAAGCCGAAGGAAAGTAACGTCCCTGTAGCAAAATCCCTTTCCGAAATGAGCGCTACAAGTATGGACGACGACGACGAAGACATGCTGGAGCGGCCTGACTTCCAGCGGATAATGAAGAAGGACATAAGGACCGGCAAAAAAAAGAAGTTGCAGGAGTGTCTGTTGGATGATTCTCTTCGAATCAAAAAGCTGCCATTGAGGACGCGCAGTTTTTCCCTGTGTCGTCTCCCAGAAGAATAATGGCGGACACTCTGGATGTTTTGGACCATGCAAGTAGCGCGCAGCGAAAAACATCAACGATGAAGGGCGACTTTCGTAGGCATATCATCGTTGGAATCGGGGTGGCAAAGGAGGCTGTTCAGCGGTTAGCGGCAGTGGCCTTGGTCAGGGCTCAGGAGCCAGCGGATACGACGGACGGACGATACCGCCAGCTTGAGCGAGAAATGGAAGAACTTAATATACGAATGGAGGCTATCCAGAAGGACAGAGCCAGGCTGCAGGAAGAAGTCAAGATCTTAAGAAAGGAGCTTCTTGGCTATCGGGCGCCAGGACGGAAGTAGCGTGGAAGGACTGGCCAATCCTCGCGCTCCTCTCCTCTGGTCATGGGTGTTTCTCGCGTTGTTGAGGATATTCCTCCAGCACGCCGCCCTGCGTTGAGGGGAGCCACCAGGGTGCTTTTCGGGGATTTATCTGTGCAGAGGATTGCTGATGAGAGGGGTCGGATCGTGATCCCCACCGAGGCCCAAATGCAGGGGGATATTGATCTTCCGGACTGGCTTCCTTTCTCGGGTTCCGAGAGGAGTGAGCGTTGGAAGACTGTCTCGAAGAAAAGAAGAAGGAGGAAGAAGAGAAAAGAAGAGACTGCCAACCGTGGCGGTGGCCCGCGCGCGTATCAAATGTAGCGTCGGACAGTGCTGGTGGTATTAGGACAGTCGAGAAGGGGCTGTCTTACGCGATGGCCACGCAGAAAACACGTGATAGGGCGGCGGTTTCCGGGAGGGATCCTCGGGCCCATCCCAAATCTGGGGCTGGAACCACGGTTCCTTCAAAAAAGACAGTTCGCGCGAGAACTTGAAAGCGAAACTCCGCCATCGTTATGATCCGCTGCGACGAAGGAGGCCCGTCATACGCGGACGTAATGAGTGAGGTGAGGACCGGTGTTCCGCTGGATGAGCTAGGCATTACTGATACAAGGGTTCGGCGGGCGCAGAATGGAGGTCTTTTGGTGGAGATCCCGGGAGAGGACGCTGGGACAAAGGCGGATTCCTTGTCGGAAAAACTCAACTCTCTTTTTAAGAATCGAGAAGTAGTGAGGGTGATTCGTCTGGTCAGGAGGACCGAGTTTCGTCTCCTCGATCTAGACGAATCGGTGACTGCCGAAGAGATAAGGACTGTAGTTGTGGCGCGTGGAAAGGCGTCACCGAACGATGTTTGCGTTGGCCCTCTGAGGCCCAGTAGAGGCGGCCAGAACAGCTCGTGGCTGCAATGTCCCGAGACTTGTACGGATTGGCTGCTGAAGGACGGGGGACTTCGTGTGGGTTGGTCGCGAGTGCGATTGATACCGCTGGCCAAGAGAAAGTTGCAGTGTTACCGTTGTTTCGCGGTTGGACACACGAGGACGAACTGCAGGAGCACTGTGGACAGGAGCAGCAGTTGCTTTAATTGCGGAAAGGAGGGGCACGCGGCCGTTAGTTGTCGGGCTTCGCCTCACTGTCCCGTTTGCGCGGCTAGAAACCTCCCGGCTAGGTATAGGGTTGGAGGGGAGGGGTGTGCTCCCTACAACAGCCCGGTACGTGTGACTGTGGCTGCAGGGCCGAGCTACAGGGACGCAAGACACAACGAGCATGGGGAGTCGAGTGTTCCTGTGGCGGAAAGTGTTCCCCCTGTGGAGGAGGAGTTATTGATGGACACGTCCAATGGCTAGAATTGGACAAATTAATGTAAATAGGTCGAAACCCGTGCAGGACTTAATCGCGCGGGTGTGCGAGGAAGAGAGACTCGGTCTCGTGGCGGTTTCGGAGCCGCATTCGGTCTACGACGGATGCTGGCTCTTCTCCTCGGACGTTCCGCCGACTGCTGCATTGGTTTGACAGCAGTTCAGTGTGCCGTGTTCTCCTCTCTTCAAAGGAGAAGGATTTGTCGCGGTGGAGTGGGGAAATTTAGTAGTCTTTAGTTGCTAATTTTCCCCCAATCTGCCGGATGCGGTTTTTCAGAGAGGTTTATGTGATCTTGGTGCGCCTATACGGTCGTGTGATCGCAGACCCCTACTAGTGCTCGGGGACTTTAACGCTCGGTCTCCTGCCTGGGATCGGGGGGAATCCACCCGCAGAGGGAGAACTCTAGCTCGCTGGGCGGCTGGGTTAGACTTAATTCTCCTCAATGAGGGATTTGTACCTACTTGCGTGAATCCGCGGGGTGTGTCGTGCGTGGACGTCTCATGGGCCTTGGTTTCGACCGTCAGATACATTCGTGGGACTGGCGTGTCGCGGTGGATACCGAGTCTCTCTCGGACCACCGATACGTATTCATGAAGGTGTTGGAACGAATAGTGGGCCCGCTTAGAAGGGTCGCGGC